CTGACTTATATTGAGTATTAAGATTATCATTGTTTTAAGCATTTTTAAGGGTACAATTTTCCATTGCAAAAATGGAATTCTTTGGAAATACAATGTGTGGACCACAAAACTATATGAAGGATATATTGAAAGAGGATTACCACGAACCTATGACGGAAATTGAAGTTAAGGAGTTATTTAAAAAACTTGTACGAGTCTTTCTTTTTATATATTTACTCAACGTGATATACTTTTATCGCTGCTAGTAAGTATATCAGGTTGACTGCTTTTTATTAGACCAAATTCAAAATGACTGACTATCAACTACGACTGAAAAACTTGTCATTACATTCGGTCTTTTTCTTAAATGATCTTAGTCTGTTTTTTTCAGTCAAAGACATATAGCGACAAAGATAATCGCCGAGGATTAAATGGTTTTGCATACGGTTCATTTGAACGATTTTTGGATATGAAAAAAAAAGGTGTATTGAAACCTATAGGTCCATGTGATATGTATAGATTACCTCCGACATCCTGCTATGAGGTTCGTTTTGTCTCTATATTTTCTTTCATTATTTTAATTATATTACGACAAGTTTTAAGGATGTATTTTTTTAAGTTTGGATGGTGGCTTACTGATACATCACTAACTGGAGAAAATTGGTATCAAGTACAACAAAGATATCCACAGCCTGCTTCACCGTATTCGTTAGTCCTAGATAAAGAGCGTAAAACCAATAAATATGCAACATTATTTTAGTAACTTGAAAGTTTTCATAATGGTAGTTATGAAGAAAACAATCTGCATGGTAAAAGTAAATATGTTTGTTATTTTATGTTTTAACATTGTATAAGTTTTGAATGAATAAGATTCGTTTTAGTTGTAAACATTTGATTTATTTCTTGAGTACTTTGTATGTAGTTCAGTGTGGTAAAGTAGTTATAACGATGCTTGTAAAATATTCCTTCCAAATAATAGGGATCTGGTTATTCTCCAGTCTATCACCAACCAAAAACATTTTGTACTTTTCGTCGACGTCTATTATGCATAGGCACCCATGAATAAGCGTTATCGCACTGAATAGGGATACTGCAACTAGGTTTTTAAAAATGAGGCATAACAAAACGAAAAACAATAACGCCGTCAACATTGTGGCAACTGGCTTTGAACATAGTGATTTTGACTTTTTGTATCGCCTATTTCTTGTATCGCCAACAAATAGTATGTTGTAAAAATTAGGAACTTATCGAGAAATGAATTTCCATGAAGAATGGAATCATGAAATCTTTTTTTTATTAATGTACTCGTATACTCGTTTTCATGTGACCATTAAAAGTAATGTCTTTGGACATTATGTCGCAGTGGTTACATACTCTTTGGATATTGCTCTTTGGAGCAAGCTGTTGTCATCTGTCATCATTCTTTTTCTTTCGCGTTCTTTCGAGTTGTGGCGTTAAAGTGAGGGAAGGTTACTCCTTTCAGAATGTAAGTCTAATTCTAAAAAATCATAATAATCTTTGAACTTTAAATGTCGTTGATATTATTTATGAACAATACAATGATACTTTTTGTTAAAAATTGATATATTTGTAAAAATTATTTTGAAATTATTTTTTCGTTAACCTCAAAATAATTTCAGGTCGAAAGTATCGCGTGATACTCTTTACGAGTGCGTAAATGCCGTGCTCCAGTCATCTAAAGACAAGAAGCGTAACTTCCTGGAGACAGTGGAATTGCAAATCGGTCTGAAGAACTATGACCCCCAGAAGGACAAGCGTTTCTCCGGCACTGTCAAGTATGTTTACCTGGAAAGAGCATTTTCGTGGACTTGATCCATCCAAAATTTGTGTTATCTTTTCAAATATTTGTATTATTAATAGAGTGGAACTTATCCACGTGCTATTAACTGTCCACTAAAATGTATCTGGACAGGGAGTCAGGTTATCTGACGGGACTTTAACCCTGAGTCCTTAAATAATGGGTTGGTATGCCAATGGCTTGCCAAAATAGATAAAGGTTTATTGATGCTATTCAGGAATGTGGTTGAGGTATGAGCCATGAATTGAAACTTTGGTAGCTTAGAAAATCTCATATTTTTATCTTCATATATTTTTAAATAGTGAATATTGGCACCAAGATTATTTGTTTTAAATATACAATCATTTTAGGTTTTATTATATTAAATTGTTGTCAAAAACTGAAATCCTAAATGATGGTTTTTGCATGTATTACCTGACCAATGATGTCAAAACACCACACTGATTATGTTATCATTTAAAGATTGAAAGTGTTAGTGTCTAAGAGTAATTTAACTACAATGTACAACTTTTCAGGCTCAAGTACATTCCGAGACCAAAGATGCAAGTTTGTGTTCTTGGAGACCAACAGCACTGTGATGAGGCTAAACAATTGGAAGTTCCATGCATGGATGCCGAGGCTCTGAAGAAGCTCAATAAGAACAAAAAACTTGTCAAGAAACTGGCCAAGAAGTAAGTTTTACCCCTTCAAGAATTTTTTAAAATTTTTGTTTACCATTATAAACTGACAAAATTGTTTAACTTGATTAACTTTAATACTGTAAATGAAAACTAATATGCTTAGCTTATAGTTTAAAATTTTCTAAACAGCTCTTATATTATTCTAATTTTATTGAATAATACTATACTATGAATAATTAAAATGTGTTTTCCAGGTATGATGCTTTCCTTGCATCAGAATCCCTCATCAAACAAATACCACGTCTGCTTGGTCCTGGTTTGAACAAGGCTGGCAAGTTCCCTGGTCTTCTCTCTCACCAAGAGTCCATGACTCAGAAAATTGATGAAGTCAAGGCTACCATCAAATTCCAGATGAAGAAGGTAACCAAACTTTTGATTTTTACTTAAAAAATTAACTAAAATATAAGCAATGAGTATTACTTCAAAGGAAATACAGTTAACCAAGAAATTTTCAATGTCTGTAAGCTGTTGTAGCAACAATTATAAATACATTTTATGTTTACAGGTACTCTGCCTTTCTGTCGCAGTAGGTCATGTAGATATGACTCCAGATGAATTGGCACAAAATGTCCATTTGTCAATCAACTTCCTTGTGTCTCTGTTGAAAAAGCACTGGCAGAATGTGAGGTCACTGCATATGAAATCTACCATGGGCCCACCTCAGAGGCTGTACTAATTGTACTTCTCAATAAAAAATGACTTTTTAATCTTATTAAGTTTTTTAATTCAATCATCTACCTGAAAATAAAACAAATCACACAAACAGAATCCAAAAAACTCAAGGCAAATTGTTGGGATTACATATAAAAAAAAAACTTTTTTTTATATTTTTTATTCAATAACATGTTAAACTATGTCACTAACGCTTTTAGAATCAGGTTCTAACATTTCGTCATCACTATCGTCTACGTCTACATCTTCTGGTAGCTGGTCATCACAATCTTCAGCCGTGTCTTCACTTTCAACACTTTGTTGTGTTTGAATTACTTCACCATGAATATTTTTATTTTTTAAATTACCCAACCAGAATGCTTCTGAGCATTTATTAGCTACTAATACAGCTTTTACTTTGTAAATTAAAGTTTCGAGCAACTGCCTTATATACGGAACTTTACTCATTAATACTGTATCTTTTTTCAACCTTGAGTGACAGCACAAAGATTGTAAAAACCTTGTTGATTGCTGTAGGAGTTTTAAAATTTCCAATATTTCTTGAGTGTTACTTTTAAATTCCACTTCTATAACAGGAAGACCTTGGGATATAAACATTTTGATAATAGGGATAGATTTTTTTAAAAATGCAGATAAATTATTTCTATTTTCAAGGCTTTTAGAAATATCAGACATACATTTCATAATAGTAGCAACATCCTTCCACAGGTTTAAGTGTTCCGAATTACTCAAGCCTTGGTTTAAATGAGTCTTTGTTACTTCACACAGTGCATTTCCTAAATTTCTGTACAGAACGGGAAAATTTCCTTTATTAATAGATTTAAACATGCTAAGTGTGTCATTTTTACTTTTAAGATGTTGAATATCAGCTGCAAGTTCTATTGTAATTGTTTTAAGAGTCACAATTTCGTTATTAATTAGATATGTGCTAGCGAGTCTATCTACATTCTGGTTAAACAAAAGTCCTTTTTCTACTGACCCATCAGGTGTTTTCCATTGTGTAGACAAAAAGTTTGAGGCAACATTTCTTAAGATTTTAGATAACTGTATATCATTACAATGCTCCTGTAAAACTATTAAAAACTCCAGTAATGCAGCGGCTATGGAAATTTGAACGCAATATTTCTCATGTTTTTGTAAATATTTAGCAATATTTAAGACACAATCTTTTAATGACACAGTATCTTTGCATTCTGCACTGGCTACTGTTCTTAAAGAAGTCTTTAGTAAAGTACTGTGTTGATTTTTAAATCCAATCCATTTGAAATAAATAGTTAGAATATTATAAATAATATCTAAACAACTAAGGTACTCAATAGTTCTCATACAATAATCAATTTCGTTCATTTGGAGGACATTTTTATCCAAATAAGCTGTAATGGTATTCACATGGTCCATTAATTTTGGTAGGGTTTTATTAATTAGGTTTGCACACTTTTCTGCCTTCTTGGCATCATATACTTCACTTGTTTCTTGTTTTGTCAGAAAAGTGTGTCTTTTAATTTTTGATACCAATGTTTCCTCTAAATATTGTTTAATAGATTTCAATAGGAATTGTAAAATTTTTACTGATTCTCTGTCCTCTTCAAGGTCAATATTTAGTAAATGTATTAGATTCAAGTTCATTTTACGGATGGGTAAGGTGTGCATAAGTTGAAGTTGATTTTTGACTGAAACATGATTATCTTGTGTAAATTGTGATCTTACAGTTTCAGGCAAAGCTGTGTCATTCAACTTTTGTTTTTTATTCTGTGAAGTTGTAAGTTTTTTTCCTGAACTAACATTGCCATGCAAAATATATTTTGGTGGCTTATAAGATATTTTTGATAATATTAAAATCTTAACAATCAAATCTTCTAATTCTTCAATATTGGCTATTCTCTTAAACATATGTTCTTTAAGAATTGAATCAGTTTGCGTTGCAAAGGCATTTAGTAGTTCCCTAAACCAATTAACACAATAAATTAAGCAGTCTATAATGGAGGATATTGTATTAGTTTCCATTTCTTTAACTTCATCAATATTAACCTTTGGCATAACAACTGGACACCCTAGCAGTGCATCTATACTAGTAAGCTTTCCTTCATCTTGGGTATAACGCAATGTTTGAACAAGTTTGAACAATGGAGATAAAATGGCAACACTAACATCTCCTTTATTGTTAAGGGCCAATCCAGCAATGTTAATAGCTATTAATTGGTCCACATCACTCTCATCTAACAAACCATATTGCATTGATAACTTTATTTCACCTATTCTTTCTAATTCTATAGAATCAACAATAAAGTTTTTTTCTAAATCATTAGTAACTGCATCAGTCAACCATGCCAAAAAGTTTTTGTTAATTTTGTCTACAGAATTGATGATACAACACAATTCATCATAGTACAAAGCTATCATTTCAGGATAATGTTGGGTACTGCGACTAATTAATTCAATAATTTGGGCAGCTTCTCGTAGATTGCCTTCTGATAAGTGAGAAAATGTTGTATAACTAATATTTTCTGGGACTTCTAATGTATCATTGTCATTGCTATTACTTGCCATTAAATATTTCACAGCATGAATACCAGCAAGGATTCCTTGTGTTTTTATTGAAGGATTGGAGCTACCTAGTTCTTTTCTTATAATCATGTGAATATCGTCACGAATAAGTGAGTTTTCACATTTGTATGCAAGGGCAGAAATCAAATTCATCACTGATCTTATTTCTCCTAATGTCATATCATCCATTCTATCTAACAATGTTAGCATCTGTAGGCATTGAGGCTTTAACAATGATATATCTTTGGATGCAACATTATTCAATATCTCAAGTATGTTCACAAGAACTGGCTTACAATACAACCCTAACTGAAGAAGCTCGGCAACAATAGTTTGGCAGTATTCATCTAAATTAGATAACATCAACATATATATATGCGAAGCAAATGACTGTAGTATAGGATCCGCTTTAGATTTTAGAAAAATATTTGTCAAACTAATCAAGTCTTTAAGATGATTTTTTAAAATTGGTTTGTATTTTTCAAATACATCATCTAATAAATTCTCTTTCAACACATTTAACTTGATTTGTTTCTTCAATAGATTTTCCAATTGCTTTTGCCTTTCTTCAGAAGTTGAATATAAAATAAGAACAATAATAAAATCAAATGGTTTGTGATCTGTGTTCATTTTACAATTTGCTATGACCTTTAACCACGCATTAGAGATCAGCTTACAAGAAACCATCGAATTTCTAATAGCATTTGCTGTAAGTACTTGGCTTGAAGCAATCTCTTGGGTAGATGCTAAAGTTGTAGGCCAACTTATAGCGTTTCTCAATCCTTGTACCGCTTTTAAGTAGCCATTTTCATTCATTCTACCACGCATAAGTAGAACTTTTACAAAACATGGAAAGTAACTACATTTAGATAAACCCAGTAGAATATTTAAAGTTTTCTCTTGAATTTGCTCATACTGCTCATCTGAGAGACAAAGATTTGAAACACAATCCAGAACAGCGGGGATCAGATCATGATCCTGACTTAATATTCTACATAATTCAATTGCTACATTGTTATGTTCTTTGTCACCTAAAATATCAGGAATAGCTGTTATGATCTCAAGGCGAACCATTTTTTCTGTAGAAATTTCTAATAAGTCAATAAGATGTGTAGCCATTACTTCACTACTAACTATGCAATCTAATGATGAGACACATTTTAAAATCATTTGTATCCAAGGCAAGCAATTTGATTCAACTGCCAAGTTGATGGCTCTTGTAAATATGTAATCAATCATTTTTCGCTGCAAAATTGGCACACCAAGTAATATTTTCAGTACACTATCACTAATCAAATGTTCACTTAAACCATTATCTAAAATTTTTACAACATTCGGAAATAAGTAATGCTTAAAAGTATCAAGTGCTTCACATTTCTTTGTCAAATCTCCAATAAATTCTGAAGCATTTCTGGGGTAGTCATAATGTTTTTGAAGATTCTTTTTAATGTTACGTTTTATATAAATTGTTTCATGTTTTGCTATAATTTTTTCGGGTGGATCCTTTAAGATAAGCCCACTTTCCTCTAAGGTTTTTTGAAGGTAAGTTATTTCAAGGTTTCTTGTTTTCTTTTGGCTACTTTCAGATCTATCACTCTGAGAAGTTCGTCTTTTCGAACTCATTTTAAGAAATTTACAGAGTGGTGGATTTACAACTAAGTAATGATAAATAACAAAAAAATCGTTTTTATAAATCACTTAAAGTATAATCTTTAAACCTTTTTCTTTACGAATATGTTGTTTTCAAAGTATCACTTCAGCGTTTGTTTTTTAAATTTTTAAACTTAATTTGACATTTGATTTTACATGTTCGTTCATAAATTCCATTAAGTATCACAGATAAAATAGGTAATTTCTCTTGTGGTTTTGAATGTATAATTTTAAGCGATTTAAAATAGAAAGAGTCGTTAGCAGTTCCCAATTTAAGGAAGTATTTATCAATTTAAATTGACGATGAAGGTATATTTAAAAAAATAATTATTTATACAGAGTTTGCCTACTAAAGATGGATTAGTTTGACAACTGACGCCTATGAAGTATCTAATTTATCTAAATATGCCTAGCTCTGATAAATTTATTGCATCTACAGAATTTATGAAAAATTATTAAACTGCCATCTTGTGGCCGAGGCCCGTACACATTTTTCGGAAATCTGGAGTTATCTATAAACTCTGGTTTTATCTATGCCGAAAAACAAATGTCAAATTGTGCTGCAATTGTAAATTGAATGCAATTCATTTTGAAGCTAAAAATTATGTTCTAATAAAATAAGGAACCCTTAGGAGATTGCATTAATTTAAAAGATGAATTTAAACATAATTAACGCTGGGAAGTTTATCTGGAAATCTCAATCTGTTCCAGGTTATGGGGTATGTTTAATTAACACATATTTTATATAAATAACATCTAGTTTAAGCCAACAAGATAAGTAGTATGTATTTCATGTGGTAATAATACATTTCTATCCATTTATTTTGCAGTTCCAACAAGTCCGAAATAAATGGGCCAATTGGCTCATGATTCGCGATGTGAAAAGAAGGCGAATGAGCGCTGAAAACTTTTTGGAAAGAACCAGAATTAACGCAATGAGAAGAAATGATGTGCTTCCAGTAGAAATTAGAGAGCTTGCTGATAAAGACATAAATAAGTTTGAGATGAATGCCATCCCTTTGAGGATAAACAACAGATGCGTCATTACATCCAGGTTTGTACACAAAATAAAATATTGGAGTATCTTAATATGAATTAACATATTCATTGCAGTCAAAAACCTTGTTCCAATTAAAACAATTGGCTGGAGTTAATTACTGCATCAATTCGAAGTTAACAGATTAATTCTATTTCAGACATATACAATGTCTGAAATAGATTTATTTCTGAAATATTCTGCAAAATTTTCACTTGTTTCAGACCTCGGGGTATTGTGCCAGAATGGCGCATGAGTCGTATTGTGTGGCGCCATTTGGCAGACTACAATAAACTATCTGGAGTCCAGAGAGCAATGTGGGGATAATAGTTATTTGAAATAGGAATTAATAAATTATAATAGTTGTTTAGATACATGTGTTTTAATTGTATTCTTCCATAATTTGGTATCAATGGCAATTGAGAAAATACAGGTGGGAAAAATAACAAGCCTGCAGTGTTTTTATGCTAATTTCTTTCAACTTAATGGACATGTCTATCAGTCCCAAATCTTTAAATATTTTTTGGATTGGTGAAAAAATAAAAACAAGTTTCAGAAGTTTTACTTTTTTATAAAGTTTATTTCCTTACAACTAAATAAGCTTCATGAAGCTTAACAATGGAATACCACAGTGTTAAGGTAAAGCTTTTTAGTCAAACAGACCTGAAACAAAAAGAAAAAAATTATTATTAGTTTGCCCCATTTGCAATTCACATGAATTTCATTCTTTTAAAATTCTCAGTAATATATTTTGTCAATCACATTATTTCTGAAGCTAATACATGCTAAACATCATTGAAAACCTTAACAGAAATAAACACGTAAGACCTAGAGTAACCTTTATGGTTTATTCCAACCATGTTTAGCACACCCTATCTATGCAGAATTAAAAAAATATTAGCATATGTATTCTTCCATGCTGTGTTCTGTGACATATTCAATTGAGATTTTTTCTGGAGATACTTTCTAATAAACATATATCCATCTTAACTTTTGCATTTATAACATTAGTCAGCCTTCTTTTAACTTTATAGTATTTTAAGTATTCATAATTTAAGATAAACCAGAAAATAAGTCTGTGTTTTATATTTTAAATAACCTGTTTCTATGTTATAAAGTGTGCAATGGAAGTAGGATTCTAGATTAAATTTAAATTCTGTGCCTAGGCAACTAGTGTAAAGTGAATATTTAGTCAATTTTCATATAACACTATTGTATATAAAAAACAACAAAATTAATACAAACTCAGCATTTAATTAAATGAATTTAACTTACCGAAGCCCATGTCATCATCAGACTCTTCAGGTTCTTCCTCCTTCTTCTCTTCCTTGGCGGGTTCTGAAGACGGCGCGGCTGCAGACGCTGCGGCCGGAGCGCCACCGGGCGCAGGCGCGGCTCCCACACCTGATCCGATGTTGGTGATCAGGTCACGTACATTCACACCCTCCAACGCCTTGGCGAACAATCCTGGCCAATAAGGCTCAACATCCACGCCGGCAGCTTTCAGTATGGTGGAGATCTTCTCACCCTATAAACAAAACATGTTTACATGAAATCTAACATGACTCTATTCAGTAAAATAAACGAACATCTACTCAAAAACTTACTCGAACATTAATTTAGGGCAAAGTTATTGTAAAAATATTGCATACTTTCACGGATTTTACTGGATATAAACTTTTGCTGAAATTAACCTATTTATAATATACAATTAAACATTGTACTTACAGTTACAGCAACATCATCATCTACTAGGATGAGAGCGGAGTAAACGCAAGCTAATTCAGCCTTTGATGCCATTTTTTAATTATTTAGTGCAAGTCGCCTGGTGGCCTTAGCTCGGAGAGAACAAGCACGTTTGATTTCTTGATTTCGAAGAGAAATTGAAAGAACGACACCTGTCAAACTCACATTTGATGTGTTTGTATTGGTGTTGCCAGCAAGACCTTGCAAGAAATTCAAAGATCTTTTTTTTTTATTTATGACCTGGTAACATAGACCTTTAGGTCATAATTCAAAAATATTCAAAGGTCAAACAAAAACCGTAAAAAGGTTTTAATCGGTTTGCAGAGAGCAGAGACGTCATGTTTACCTATATTAAATTGTGAAAATTAATGAGTGTATCTGCACTGGTATGATTCTATAAGTTTGAATTAAACTAGTTAAAAGTTTATTAACAATAATACCTAAACTACGTGGGAGGATAGTCCGCGCGCAGAGCACGAAGAATTTCATATATAATGATCTTTCTCCTTGGCGAATTCGAATTGTCAGCGGGGACAAACATTTTTTGTAAGGTGTAGTTTGAAAATTTTAATATGTCAACAAAGTTCGAACTTTATTTTATTACTTGATTATTTTTATATAAGATAATTTCATTGTATTATTTATCTGGGACTAACTTATCGATTTTATCATAAACAAGTAAAGTCAATTAAAATATAATTGTGGGTTTCATTGAAATAATAATGAAAATCAACTAAAATCAAAGTGGCATAAATGAGAACATAAATTTATTCTGATATTAACAATTATAATAAACTTTGAAAATGAATAATTAACAGATAAAATACAAATAAATTAGGATGTTTAGATATTAAGTACAATGATCTTGAAATTACAATTAGCTATGACAATGAATTATTACAAAATATTAAAAATTTACACAATTTAAGAAAATTAGTATATCTAGGCATGGGATCACAATATTTGGTGTGTTATTGAGATCAAAGAAATGAATGAAGTCAACTTTAAGGTTCTTAAAATTGACTTCCACTGACTGAACTGAAATAGTTTAGTAAAGAAATTATATGTTTTACAAATCCCATGAGAATAAATGATGTTTTACTAGCATGTCTCTAACACCTTCTTTCAAAGGCTGGTTTTGTGTATCTTTCTTCAATGGCAGTTCCCATTCAGGGTTCAGATTAAAACCAAATTGAGAAAGTATTCTTAGTTCACATTTAATTTGAACCCATCCTGGTGAATTTATAAAAGACCAAGGATGATACCATTTTTGGACAACATCAACACAAGAGCATAAAACTTCAAGCCATAAGTGTAAGGCTTCTTCATTTAATCCCATGCAAATTAAAGTACGAAGTTTAACATCCATTTGAGCATGTGCATTATCATGAGACAAGTTAATAGCCTGAACACATCTGTACAGTAACTCTTCTGGTGTTAAAACCTTGCCTTCTTCATCCAGGCGATATGTTTTGCATAAGACTAAACGACTGTAAACTGAATTAAAATCCTTTTCAACCTCTCTGGAAGATGCCTCTTCAATAAATAACCATGGGTGGCAGGGTCCGTCTAAGAAACTTGGTTTCTTAATTCCATGCAATAAAACTCTTTTGAAAGCAGGTGCCAATACACCTCTTACCAAATGTGCAGCTTTTTCTGTTATAGAGTCATCACCAGCTCTGCTGTATTTAACACCCTTCTCATCTAAAAATGTCACAAATCGGGCTGGAAACCAACCCCTTAGGCCATTAAGCTCTCCAATCCAGCAGTGCTCATCTCTAGAACTAATTACCTCAATTACATCATTCTTCCTAAATCCTAACTCATCACCATCCCTTCTTTCAAAATCTAACAATGCCTTTGCCCGTCTTCTCTTACTTCTTGATACATTTACATATCTTTCTCTATCAGCAGCATGGCTCTGCATTGTATAGTCTGCTGTTAATTGAACTTCAGATTGCAGTTGAGGCTCTAATGTTAAAAAATGACGTGCCACCTGTAAAATGGCTTCTCTGAGGTCTACAAGAATTTCAGTCTGCTTTACATTTTTAGATACAGCATCTTCATTATTACTATCATCACCAAATAATATAGTTTGTATTACTGATTTGTTTCTTTTTATCTGTCTCCTTTGAAGATGCTGTTTTGGTAAGTTGGGAACTGCACTAGGGTTACCAACTAAAGCTCCTTGGTCAGCCATGAGATATGCCAAATGTCTTCTTCTATGTGTTTCAATTAAGGCAGGGCTTAATGTATCACCACAAACTTCATCAATTGTCTTTATTAACAAATTTACATCATCAATTTCACCAGGTATATCAGACAAGGCATTGAATATTTGAGCAGAGTTTGAAATCTCTGTAAATCTATTTTCCCTTATTTTAAGCATGGCAAGAGTAACTTTAAAAAGTACTATAGATCCTTCAAAAAAGAACAGGTCCCATATTCTTAGTAAAATTTTCATATGAACTACATTAGCATATAGGGTTAAAAACCAGTGCATAGTTATAAGAGAAAGTTCTATGTCATGGGCATTGAGGACTTGATCTATACCAGGAAGATATGTGGAGATTAAACTTCTCAGTACCTTTTGATCTGCTTGTATACCAATTAATGTAGATGAATAGTAAGATGCAGGTAACAGATCTTCAACAGTAGTACACATTATCCAAAATGCCTCCTCTTCCTCCATCAGCAGTAACAGAGAAGCAGCAATCATACCTGTTCCTTGACAATATCCAATGTCTGGATACAGCCAAGCCAGTGCTCTAAGTATTCGACGAAGTCGAGGTACTCCAGTACTAGTTGGATGTGAAAAGCACACATTGTTAGGCAAAATTTGGACCAAATCCTTTTCAATTTGTTTACTAGTCACTAATCCATCATCACTAGATGCTCTTACTATTTCATGATATGTAATTTCTGTAGTTGCCCTTTTTTTAATTGCACCACAAAGATGCATCCATACTTGTGGACGTAACATATGGGGAACACCATCTTTTACCATTTGTTGTAGTTTTTCTGACTTTGAAAATTTTCCTTCACTCTCGGAAAAACTTATTTCTTTGCTATAAAACTCCCATTGGAGACGGTGATGGTCTTCTTCTTGAACAACATTTGACGTTAATTTGTCTGATATTTCCGATCCTTCTTCATCATCGACGCAAAAACCAAATTCATCGAATCGGTAATCCGGAAGACCACCTTGACCTTCAGACTCGGGTTGTGCTAGTTTTGCCATTATATCTTGAGGTACCATACTTTGTGTAAGGGAGGAAAAAGGTCCACCTGGCGCTGGAAGTAATTCATCAGCGAGATTTAATCCTCGTATGGCATCAATTACATCTTCTGGGTCATCGTCCGCTAATGATGCACTTATTTTACGTTCGTGATCTTCACGACCAACGTAGCCTACGTGGTCTCTTGAACTGAACAAAGATTTAGCTAAATTCATTTTTCTTTATTGTATTTTAACCGTAAAGCAAAACTGATCATGAAGACAATGTCAGTATAATAATCTGATATTAAAAATCATAAATATCATTTGCACCAATAATTGCACTATTGTCACTTTCTCTTTCGTTTTTGCCTTTTTTTATGCGAGTAGTATTGCCATTTAAAACCAAACTACCAAACTACTGACAGACTATAATTTAAAAAA